GCCGTAATAGTCATTGTTTACAAAAACCACTTATTTTCCCCCATATATATATATATATATATATATATATATATATATATATATATATATGAAGATATATAGTCTTAAGATGTGCTATATTTATGGGATATAATGCTCAATATTTATAGAGAGAGAGAGAGAGCGAGAGTGTGTAAATATAAAAGTGATCATAAAAGTCAACATTTAGAGGCGACAGTCTGTTTCATGCTAGATGCAATCGTCAGCTGGTATGGCATTTGCCTGTCATTGTAGTTGTCCGGGTTTCACCGGATGCGCACTGCTGATGAGTCCCAAATATAGGACTAAACGGCCGTCCAGTGCTTTCTGCATTCTGTTGAGGTCTCTTCTAGACTCGATGAATTATATATATATATATATATATATATATATATATATATATATTTCATTAGAAAAAACGAAGCAAAAAGAGATTTTGAACTCAATGGTTTTATAACGATGGGGTGGTGCTAGGTTCCCTGTGAATATACCATATGGGACCCATGTAGTATTGAGTGGCGATGGACGCGGTCTTGTGGTGAATGCGTCAATTGTAATGAATGAATGGGCCTTGAATCCGATTAGACAGGTATATAAGATATATTACTGTATCAGTTATTCATTTCCACTTCAGCCTTGTGCCACAATTTCTATAAAAACATAAATAAATGACATGTTGCCTGAGGATGCCGAAATTTTGTGAAAAAATTTGTCATTTTCTTTTTATTTTTACCTTTTCTGGGTCAGCACGTAAAAAATTTATGTCTTATTTTCTATAAATGTATATAGTTGCAACATACAAATTACAATCTGATCAATAACTGTTTTCCCTTAGGTTGAGCACTTTGGAAGAAAGGAAATTCGTCATATGTTGCTATTTAACGACGAAAGATGTTAACTATATATGCCTTTGGTTATATCTATGAAAAATTTCGCTGCGTGAACTGATGGCCTAAGGGTAACTCATGTGACTGAAATCAAATCGTTCGAAAAATATTCATGAAGCAATCGTATATGTAGTAATGATGAACTGTGATATAAAAAAACAGTTTGAATGGATGATTCTGCACAAGGGATTATGATATATATATATATAATTTGCCAAGGAAAATGTTTAAACAATGTCGTTTTTGACGTATTTTTAACATCAAAAACGACATTTTTATGTTATTTTTTACCAATAAAGATATTTATATATATATATATATATATATATAAAAATAAATGGATATAAATCCGACAGAAAAAAAAGAAATTTAGTTGTACACACAACTAAAGCAGATCATAATTTCGATTTCGATTCCGTGAAAGTATTAAAATATTTTCATAATAAAAATCTCAGGAGGATTTATGAAGCAGGTATAATATCCATCTCACGCACGGTGAATACTAGACCTGGTTTCTTTAATATTTCCTTTTTTTTAGCGAGATTGATGCTCGACAAGCATACACATAAGAATTTTAGAACCTAATAGAATTCTTTTCATTTTTTTTTCATTTCAAAATAATCACAAACTTTTAGGAATACGTTATGAAAGCGTCGCCCATGTGACGACGGCGTGACCATGTTAGACGGAAGGCTGATCATTTTAAAAATTTTCAGTTATCTGTTCTGAATAAGACTTGTGTTTTTATGTCCATCGTATTTGTCATATTGAACTGAATTGTATTTTGATGAATATTGTCTTGAAAAAGGTTTATTAAACCGAAACGTCAGACGTCGACATTTCTTTCATTTTAACTACATTTAAGGATTTTTTTGTTGTTTTTTCAAAATTTTTCATATATATATATATATATATATATATATATATATATATATATATATATCAAAGTGCGGAAATTGTGACGAGGACGGAAAGAGTGACAGCCAAAGAAGCATTCAAAAGCTAAGTAAAACGTATAAGAAATAGGAAAAATTTCGGTGGAATTACGGTAAAAGAGCAATTTGGAAAAAAGGGAAATTGTCGGCTGCTGCTATTAACGACAAAAGATCTTCGCTATGAATTGAGCACTCTGCTAGCCGGTAATGCCTATATCTCGTAGATAATGCGTTAAAAATTCCTTTTCTCCGCTGCGTTAGAGACTCCGACCGATGTCAGATTGATCGGGTTTCAAAATCGGTCAGTGAATGCCGAATTTTTCCTTTGTATCCTTGTGCCTTGATATCTATCAGTAATGTAAAGAGCGATAACAGCTACTGGATTTGAGAAAACTATTTTCTCCAAAATTTGTTATAAGAGAAAGTTTTTTTTATAAATTTCAAACGACTTCAGTAATGGCTGATCGTCAATGAATATGTTTACTTTTAAGAAAACGACTTAAACAAAACCTCCGTCACGAAAATATATAGATGTATGAAAAAATTATTAAATATATATACAAAATAATAATACGTATAAGTGTATATAATGTGCGTTTCCAGTGAGGTCTAGCTCCGTTTAACCAGTATACGTGACGTCATATTTGACTGATTCGAATTCTGGGGCTCTAACAATAACAGAACGTGGCTAAAACAGACAAATAATACACCGTTGCTGATAATTTCTGACAGGGTTGAAACAAAATAATAATAATAATAATAAATAAATAAATAAATAAACATGAATTTCGGAAGGTTTACAGACAATTTCGATCTCCGTGTACAGCATTTTATTAGAAAATTGAAAGAGATAAAGCCTGATAAGCCTTTTCGGATTAAGGTTATAAATCTTACTCGGAGATAATCTATCTACACCTTCTTCACAATTTATGGTATGTGTCACGTATGTGCCAAACAATAGATTAAGAAAGAATTTCCCATCAATACCTATTCGAATTCCAGAGCTCTGAAAAATGCCAGGACGTACCCAAAATAATCCTCTCTAATAGACAAATAATACACGATTCTTGATAATGACTGTAACGTCTGAATCAAAGCCAATACCCCCGCCACCAAAAAAAATGAATTTGGGATGGTTTATAGACAATTTTGATCTCGATATACAACATCTTATTAGAAATTTGAAAAAAATATTTAATAAAATAAAAAAAATTAAACAATTTGGATTAAGATAAACAATCTTTCTCGGAGATAATCTTTCTATCCCTGCTACACGATTTACGGTATGTGTTACGTATGTGCCAAACAAAAGGTTAGGAAGGAATCCCCCATCAATACTGGAAAGAGCGATAACAGCTACTGGACACGTGAAAGCTATTACCCTGAAAAAATCTTTTATGGGAAAGATTTTATAAATTTCAACTGACAGTAGCACAGGTTACTCAGTCAAGGAATGGTATCATTACCATTCTGTTGAACCAGATCTCTTTTGCTTCAAGTCTCTTTATTTCTTTAATTTTTTACGGGTAATCAACCTTTTGTAGATTATTTGAAGCTAGGAAACATTTTTAGCTCTGGTAAAATGGTTAATGGGACATTAATTTTATAAGTCCCCAAAATTTATACACTGAAACGATTAAATTTTTATATATCTACTATTTTCTTTCTTTCTTTCTTTTTTTCTTTCTTTGTACGGATTTCTTTTTTCTTTTATTCATGCATTCATTCTTTCATTCAAAGAATAATCTTAGAAGCGTCTTTGTAGCTCTTTAGTGATTGCGCATTCGTTCTACTCTGGGACATGACTGGAAATATTACGAGGTAAGGATTGAACTCATAAACATTTGCTTGCGAGACTAAATTGGTAACAGCTGCAAATATATTTCTTTTTTTTTTTTTTTCTTTTCTCTCTCTTTCTAAATCTTCTTAGACATCACACACTTTTCACACACACACACACACACACACACACACACACACAAACACACCACACACAAAACATAAATAAAATTTGATTCCTGTCTCTATAATATCCTGACTCTCATTCTCTGTTTCTAAAATCACATCTCATACAACGTACGCACGCACACACATTTTATGAAGATGTTTCATATTTGATTTTAATCACTCTCTTTCTGATACTTTCTCTTATTTTTTAAATCTTTTCCCCTCACGCACACAGAATTTCAAATAATATGACATTTTCGTTTTCATTCTATTTGTCTCGCAACAATCATACATAATAAATACATGGACACAGCCCTCGACTCATTAAATCATCTGACATTTCTCTCTCTGATACACACACACATACATGCTGAAAGTTATAAATTAAAGTAAATTTTGAAAGAACTCATCTCTGTTTCTCTCAATCTCACACACGCACACAAACATACACACACACACAGTAGAAATTAGATTTTTACTCTCTGCTAGATTATCACACACACACATACACACACAACACACACACATAGACACACACACATACTCACACACACACACACACACACACACACACACACGCACACACACATACACACATGTACAATTTCCCCTAATCTGACTAATTTGATTCGTTGTGTTTACGGAAACAAATTCCATCTATGTCTGTCTGTCTGTTCGTCTGTTTATAATGAGATTGATAAAAGATGATGAATAAGGAAGGTGGGGGGCGTAGATGGAGGTGATGGCGGTGGCGTTGATGGTGGTGGCGATAATGAATAGAGTTAAAAATGTACTAATAGTACGTGTAATACTAGTGCCACTACGACCTTTCTTATCATCACTTCTCCTGACAACAACAGCAACAGCAACAACAATAATTATAATGATGATGATGATGATGATGAGAAGAAGAAGACGAATGAGGAGGAGAAATAAGAAAATGGCATGGAGGCCAAAGAAGAAGAAGAAGACGACGAAGAGGAAGAATGAGGAGGAGAAATAGGAAAAGAAGATGGACGACAAAGAAAGGATGATGATGATGATGATGAAGAAGAAGAAGAAGAAGAATGGGGGTGAGAAATAGGAAAAGGAGATGGACGATAAAGAAGAAGAAGAAGAAAAGAAGAAGAAGAAGAAGAAGAAGAAGAAAAAGAAGATGAAGAAGAAAAGGATGAAGAATGAAGGAGGAGAAAAGAAAAATGAGAAGGATATATTAAAAGATGAAGATGAAGAAGAAATTGAAGAAGAAGAGGAAAAGAAGAAGAGGAAAAGAAGAAGAAGAAGAAGAAGAAGAAGAAGAAGAAGAATATAATTTTTTAAGAACAAAGAAGAAGAAGAAGAAGAAGAAGAAGAAGATAATGTTAATGAAAAAGATGACAGGTTGTGGTGTAAAAATGAGATGGGAGGGAATAAAGGAGTGAAGAATAGAAATAAAGGAATAAAACCGTAAAATTAAATAAAAACAAGAATGAATGAAAGAATGAATAAAAGAAAAAAAAGAAATGTATACAAAGAAAGAAAGAAAGAAAGAAAGAAAGACAGAAAGACAATAGTAGAAAGATAGAAAGAAAGAAACACGAAATTTAGAAAAGAAAGAAAATGGCGAGGCATTTCTTTTTTGTCTTCTATTTCTTCTTCCAAATAAAAGAAAATGTAGAAGAAGTAGAAGAAAAGCAACATCAAGGGTGGAAAGGATTGTGAAAATGAACCCCTCCCCACCTACCCCCAAAAAGTATAACACGCATAATTATAAGATCAGTGCTAAGTAAAAAGCAGTATTTCTTACTAAAACTCGGTAGTCGTTGATCAGAGCCCGTGCCCGGACATTAACTATGAGGAGGCAATCAAGAAACCATTAATAGTTTTAGATGCAATTACAATTCATCGTGTAAGGTGGGTGGATGGCGATAGCGGTAATTCCAACCGAAGAATAGAAAGTGATAAGGAAAGAAGTGTTCTGGGTTTACGCTATAATGACCTGGAATAAACATGAAGACGATAAGAATCGCGAAATTGGTTAGCTGAGTGGGCATTCACGAAGTTTAATCAAGTCTAGCACAAGGCTTCATTTTGGGAGCTCCTGTATAGGATCGACAAAAATATTGACCGCGTTCAAGTAATTATTAGATATAGGCTCTGCAGTGCAGATTTTCAGACAAGGTTCAGTTAGAGATGGGCCATGCGTGATACACGAATGGCCGATCATGTATCTTTTGAAACATGAATGACGAGGCAAATTTTTTTTCTTGCAATAGGTGGCCATTTTTTTCTGCTGTAGACCAGTTGCCATCCAAAGCTATAGAACCAGCTCTGTCCTGTATTTTCCCATAGCTGGGTGGAGAAGAAGAGGATTCATACCATTTCCAAGTGTATTAGGACGTAAGTGAATGTAATGGACTTGACTGGAAAGTAAGTCAGTTAGTTATGTGCCATGCGTGATACACGCTTATCCGATCATGTATCTTTCGAGACGAGTCAGATTTTTTTTCCTGCAGTAGGTTGCCATTTCTTTTTGCAGTAGACCAGTTGCCAAGGTTATAGAACAGGACCTGTCCTACTATTTACCCACAGCTGGAGGAAGAAGACGATTCATACCTTTCCTAAGCGACAGTCAGTCAGTTATGTATCATGCGTGATACACGCTTATCCGATCATGTATCAAACGATACATAAATGACGAGGCAGATTTTTTCCTGCAATAGGTGGCCATTTTTTTCTGCGGTTTATCAGTTGCCATCCAAAGCTATAGAACCCGCTCTGTCCTGTATTTTCCTATAGCTGGGTGTAAAAAAGAGGATTCATACCATTCCCAAGGGTATTAGGACGTAAGTGAACGTAATGGATTTGACTGGAATTCGAACTCGGCTCTTCGATTCCGCAATCGAAGCCGCTATCTACTACTATCTATATCAGTTATATGCCATGCGTGATATACGCTTAGGCTATCATGTATCTTTTGAGACATAAATGACGAGGCATATTTTTTCCCGCAGTAGGTTGCCATTTCTTTAGACCAGTTGCCATCCAATGCTATAGAACCCGGTCTGTTCTGCTACTTACCCATAACTGGGTAGTGGGGTGGAGAAGAAGTGTATTAGCACGTAAGTGAATGTAATGGATTCGACTGGAATTCGAACTAGGCACCCTGATTCCTCAATCCAAGCCGATATCCATTCAGTCCGTTATGTGCCATGCATGATAGACGCTTAGTTGCCATGCAAGACTATAGAACCCGGTCTGTCCTGCTATTTACCCATAGCTGGGGGGGATTCATACCTTTCCCAAGGGTATTAGCACGTAAATGAATGTAATGGATTCGACTGGAATTCGAACTCGGCTCTCCGATTCCTCAATCCGAGCAGCTATCCATTACTCCACTGTGTAGAATACAACGAAACAAGCTCGTTAACCAATAGCCGCATGAAGTCTCATGAAGGTATTAGAAAGAAATCAATGTTAGTGAAAATAACAAATTGAGTAAAATCTTCCTTTTGTTACATAGCGTGGGTGGGTATCGAAGATTTAAAATATATAGACATCACCTTGAGGATCTCGCAGCTCTTAGGGATAAAGTAGTTTCTAATTTGATATTGTAATTTTAAAAGTATACGTTTGTACGGTGTGTTAAAGACTCTACCTATATATATCCTGGTATATCAGCAAAATGGTCCAAATTGCGTAACTGCAGAATTGTCCATTCCACAAATGTTTAATATCTAAAAAGCCACTAAACTATCTGGGTTTCTTTTTTCCAGGTTTTCCGATAAGACGTTTCACCATCTTGACACCGCTTGTTTTAAGAATCATTGAAAAAAAAAAACCTTTGAGTTATTCTGCTAAAAAGAGAGCAGGTTAAAATTGATTTGACATAATCCCACTATGTCTTCCTAACTGAGCAATGGTGAGAGGAAAAAGATCATTCAATTCAGTAATGGTGCCAACATACATACTCTGACTTCCATCTTCAATGTCCATTCAAGAACCATCAAGAGAACGGTGAATCAGTTTTAAAAAAAAGAGGGAACAGAAGAGGGGAAAACTGGACCAGGAGGTCACAACAGCAAGAGGGATCATCGTTTCAACTTAGTATTAAAGAATCTAATAAATGTTTTTCATGGAGGCTGCTGTTTACACGCGCGCGCACGCATGCACACACACACATTAACAAATTAAGAAAGAGACAATAATAAGGTTACATGACTATAATTTATTTGATATAAAAATATACCGGGGAAATAAATTATAGTCATGCAATTTAAGTTAACCTTGAAAAATATTTAATTTCTGGATTACAAAAAAAATTATCCACCGGCTTTTTCCATCAGAACTTACTTATATATATAAAATAAATTTAGTCATGCACAGAATAGTAAATAAACATTTGTCAATATATTATGAATTTATATGGTTTTGTTGTATAGTTAAAACGTTGACATATATCCTGGATATAATATTTGTTTGGAATTATCCATACTATATTTATGCACATTTAAATATATATATATATATATATATATATATTATATATATATATATATATATCAAATAAATATATATATAGGCCACATGAAGAAAAATATACATTTTTTTGACCATTTCAATTAAATCTCATTTAAATATTCATGGAGACCTTTTATTCGTAACATACTTGTTGACAACACTAATATAATAGCATCATCTACATGCAAAAAAAAAAAAGGCTAAAAATAATGGAAGCCTTATTAATAAAAAAAAAAAAAAACACTTAATAATATTAACTTTGAACATGGACATAATATCTTTCGTGTTTTGAAAAAAAAAAATGAAAACATTTTTTATAAAACATACATACAACAAACTATTTCTTATTTAACAGTTAAAATATTTAATCCTTGAAAATGGCTAAATGTATAGGCAAAAGCGCTCGGATAAAAAAGAATATTCGGACAGTTTTTTATATAATTTATCATCCGAAAAGAAAAAAATTATTAGATCGCATGAGAAATTGTATAAAAACTAAATAAAAAGCACCTTTGTCTGTCGTTTTCAATGAAATGCATGAAAGAAGGATTGCCTATATATATATATATATATATATATATATATATATATATATATATATATATATATAAAATAAAGAAAAATCATACCATGTTGTTATATTTTGAAAGATGAAACGCATTCTTTATATACTTTTTTCGTTTTTTTCAAAACATTTTTTTAGAGTGATAATAATCAAATCAATCTTTTCAAATTATATATTATACACAATTATAAAAGGATAAAATTTTAAGCTTAAATTTTCAAAATTTCTTAAATATTTAGAATTCCCCATTCTGAAACTTGAGACTGAATATTGACGAAATAAATATCACCAAATAAATTCTTTTATAATAATAAAATATGTTTGCATACATATATTCAGGGACATATTGTCCATTCAATTTTTTATTAAATAATTTAGTTAAATTATTCTTTTATTTTAATTTTAAATCTTTTCAAGTCCTCGAAGGAATTATAAAAACATAGAAAAAAATTTAGAAAACTTCCATCATTTTTTTAAATAATTTTTATAATTCAAAATATTAAGAAAAATAAAAGTTTCCCTTGCATAAAAGTAACGTTCTTATGTTGATTTTACGGTCTTAAAAACAAATTAAAGAAAATCAAATAAAGATATAATTTTCAAAGTGCACACGAATTTTAACCAAGAATAATTATATATATATATATATATATATATATATGATTGAAAATATTGAGATTGATAATGTAGATGGAGAAATTGAAAGAAATCCGTGAGCGAAGAATATGAAGAAAAAATAAACAGTCGTTGAAGGTAATAAGAGACTGTAAAGAATTGAAAGAAAAACGCTTCGAACGAAAAGAGGAAAAGCAGACGATCTCCATACAAAGGCCGGCCTGTTTAGCCAAAGTTGTGGCGTAAGCTTCAATCGTGATGAAAGTCGACGGTAGGTGGCTGGTGGACGAGTTTGTGGGTCAGGCCTAAATGGAAAGGGAAAAGGAGATTAAATAGGCAATTACCAAAGATACAAATTAATCGGAACAATAATCCCACTTCATTAATCGTAATGGAGGAGCAAAGGAAAGTAGGTGGAGGATTCCATGTAAGTTAGTCGGGTGATTGGCGCTGGATTCAATTATGCTATATAAAACATCATTAAGTTCCTTCTTTTTTTTTCTTTTTTTTTTCAGGAAAAAAAAGGTACCTTACTGGTTCAAGCAACTATCTAAATTTATTTTATTTTGTTAATTTGTCGATTCTTGGTATTAATATTTTCTTCGGAATTTCTCCATTACTAAAATGCGCAAATACCAATTGGGAAAAGTATGAATCCATCTATTCCTCCACGTATGGGTTAAATAAAAAGACTTGAATGAAGAAAAATCAGTTTTATTCTAAAAAAATATGTTAACACAATATTCTCTCAAAAAAATACGTTTAGAATTTGACTAACACTTAAAATGCTTCTTCTTCTTTTATGTGCTATGTCCTTTCTGGAAGTAGGCGATCATGGCTCTCCACTTCTCCCTATCTCTTGTAGCTCTCAAATAAGTTTTGTCCTTTTGCTACTTCTCTCAGAGCCTGTTCTGTTACCCACTTGCTTAAACCCGCTAGGTATGTCACGAGTTGCTTTCCCTTGTCTCTCTTGCCCTCTATTCGCCAAGAGTATATCAGATTCTCCAAGCCCGCTTTTCTCATTACGTGTCCCAGAAATTTCAAGTGCTTCTTGTTTGCATCCTCTCCAAAACCGTATCGTTGCTCACAGGCTCGGTCCATGATATGCTTCTGTAGAACCATACTTCCGTTGTCTCGAGTCTCTTCTTCATCTTGGAGGAGATTTAAAACATTCTCTGCCGTAAAGGAAGGCAGATGCCACGTAGTAGATCAGTACTATTTTCTTTTGTTACGAACGAGATCCTCCTTAAAAAAAACTTTGCCCAGGTCTTGGAATGCGAAAAGGCCATCCCAATACGTCTTCAGGACAAAAAAAGCGTTTTACTGTCCTTGAAAATTTCCTAGAATATCAAAAATATTTCTGATTAATTTTGATATTTTTTATTTCATATTGAAATCAAATCATTCCAAAAATAACGATGTTGATGCCGAAAAATAAAATTTATATTGCATGAAATATTATATTTATATTCGGACTATTCATTTGTCAATATTTAATTTTTTTTTATTGTTTGTAAATTTTTTTCTTCATTCAAAGTAACTTGAACACCCCTTAAAGGTATTTTCATGAATAATGGATTTAATTTATTTTTAGATTTTGAAAAAAAAAATTTTATGAAATTTGCCATGTGTCCTAATCATTTAAAAAAAAAGGCGTTTTAGAATATTGTTTCTTTGAGTTCAATGCCCGGTTAAAAAAAAATTTATTATAAACTCATCCATTAAACAATTTAGAGATTAGAAATTTTGAGCGAAATAAAATTTTAAAAAAAATAAAATTTAAAATGTTCATTAAATCCTTATTGAAAATAAACAGATAATTTAATGTAAGGTTTAATAAATATGGCGACAAAAGATTCAATAGTCCGAATAATGTAAATAGTTAAATAATACCTCATTCAGAAATTAGAAGATTTTGAAAGGCCGAAACGTTGAAATAAAATGGCGACAAAGATGAGGACAATAGTCCGAATAAATTTGTACATAAAATTTCAATGAAATATAGACAGATTTTGAATTTAAAAATATTGCAATAAATATGGTTGTTTCCCAACACAATAGTCCGAATAATGCAAATAATGTACACTTGGTTTATAGATAGATAATGAAAAACGTTTTAATAAATATGGCGACAAAATGAGGACAATAGTCCGAATAAAATAAATATATATAACTTCATCTCAGAAATATAGACAGATAGATGAAACGTTGTAATAAATGGACAAAGATGAGGACAATAGTCCAAAATAAGGTAAATAATGTACATAATTCCTCATCTCAGAAATATAGACAGATACTGAAAGGCCAAAAGTTGTAAGGAAATATGGCAACAAAGATGAGACAATAGTCCGAATAATTAAATAAACATTTATCATCTCAGAAATATAGACAGATACTGAAAAATAATGTTTAATCCAGGTTTTGTTTAAAAAGATAAGGACAATAGTCTGAATAATGTAAATAGAAATATACCTCATCTAATAACATACACTGGCATCTGTTTAATGGGTAGCCCTTCTAAATAAATTTGGAAACAGTCAGAGCTGTCATATAATTGTTGAAATCTGCTCATCAATTCATTCAATGGATTGCATCAAATATATATCAAATTTAAAACTGTTGTTTTGCAACCTACATTTTTTGCCTGTTTGATTTAAAAAATTAAATTTGAATTAAAAAAAATTATCAAAAATATAGGAGGAGAAAGCTCAAAGATGGAGGTGATATTTCAAGATCATTGAGAAATACTGAAATGCAACATTTTTCTCCCAAAAAATTATAATAATGATTTAAAATCATTTACCAAAATTACCCAAAAATTTCTTGAAAAACTAAAGTCGTAAATTTTTCAATTTTTCAACCAAGCCTCCGGTCGGATTCAGGAATCCTGCAATTTTTCTGGAATCTCCTGGTTTAATTTTTGCATAATACCATAATCCTTGCCTTCAGTTCAAAATTGTATGGCATAGAGTTTTGTTGGTTTATCGCACCTTTAATGCAAAATAATAATCAATGTTTATGCAGTCCTGGAGT